TGACCGGCAACGGATTGCAACCCTCAGTGTTGCGCCCGTACTGGACCGGGACCGGCAACGGGATCGCAACCCTCAGTGTCGCGCCTGTACCGGACCGGGACCGGCAATGGGATCGCAACCCTCGGTGTTGCGCCTGCACCTCGCTCAGCCAGTGAGCGGCCAGTCTGTATGTGGGATCCGAACTCTCGGAGGGAGTGCCGCCACACTCCCAAGCGGTGCACTGTAGCAGTGCGCCACTGGGCCGGCCCGACAAACAAAAATTTTTAAAAATAAATAACATATGTCTAGATTCCATAGAAATTCAGTCTGTTAGTATTTGTCTTTTTACTTGGTTTGTTGAGAATTAGGTTTTTTGAAATTGCTGACATATTTGTATTTGGGTGTGCTCTCAAATCGCAGTGCTTCCAGTTTCTGGCAATGTGACCTTGGCCAGTCAGTTACATTCTCCAATCCTTCAACTCCTGCTCTATAATATGGGTATGGCAGGCTGGCTGGTTAGCTCAGTTGTTTAGAGCATGGTGCTGGTAACACAAAAGTCCAGGGTTTGATCCCTGTATTGCCAGCTGCCAAAAAACAATAACATCAAAACCACCTATTTTTCTCTCTCTCTCTCTCTATATCCAGGGTTTGATCCCTGTATTGCCAGCTGCCAAAAAACAATAACATCAAAACCACCTATTTCTCTCTCTCTCTCTCTCTATATATATATATATAGATAGATAGATGGTTGTCCTGCCCTCTGAATAAATGAAACCACACATAAAAATTATTTGGCAGACTGTAGGCCCTCAGTAGATTTCTTTTTCCCTCCTCATCTTCTCCCCCTTTAGACAGACATGGGCAGACACATATCTCATGACAAAATGAGTGGTGGACATGGTGAGAGCATCAGAGGTATGGAGATTCAGCTCCTCAGTGACAGAGACTGAGCAGGTGGGGGGCAGAGAGAGGTGGAGACAATTATTGCAAGTCAGAGCCAGTGCCCATGGCCAGGCTCTGGGTCAGGCACTGTACAAAGTGGGTCTTGTCTCTGCTTTACAGATGAATAGGTCACTGAGGTTCAGGGAAGGCACTTATCTGAGGTCCCAAAACTGGCCCCAGGGAGGAGTGGGGCTTTGCAGCCTGACTTCAGGTCCATGCCTTGTCTGTTCTCTGCAGCCTGCGGAAGCCTGTGCCATCCATCACTTCACTGGGAACATGCACCTCTCATCTCTAGGTTTTTCCCTAAGTCTGTCATTTTCCTCTCAGTCTCTCAACCTCTGCCACAAGTGTGGCAGTCTATGCTTTTGTCTGGGACTCTCTCAAAGATACTGACACAAGGTCTTTATCTCCCTGGGTCTCACCATGTTCTCAGCCTCTCTCCTCAGTCTTTGTGACTGTGTTTACTTGTGACACAGGGAATAAGTCTAAAACACAGGGCAAAGATACACAGGGAGAGATGGTGATAGTGACTAGTACACAACATGGAAGGTCAAATGGTTCACACATGATGGGATCATCAGAGATGATGGGATCAACAGACACATGAAGCTGCTACAACCAGCTACAAACACAGGCACTGAAAGTGGGACAGGGATGCAGAATTGTGAGAGGAGGTCAGAGAACGCATTGACAGAATGCTGGCGACCACCAAGTCCACGGCACCAGGGGGCCCTGGGGCCTACAGAAAAGGAAGACTCGATATAGTAACATTTTATTGAGGTCACTGCATGCCAGGCTTGTCTGGACGCTGAGACCCTGGGAAAATCAGATTGTTCTTGCCCTGCACAGCCCGCAGCTGGTGGGGAGACATCCCTGTAAACATATGTAAGAATGATGTGAGGCAGAGCATGGTGACTGCCTCAGGGAAGGCACCAGTCACGTGTCCAAGACACATCAGTCAGGGCCTACTGCGTCTTGTGTGTGTGCATACTGAGAGTAACACACAGCCCTTGCTCTCAGGCACTCACAGTATCCTTGGGAAATACAGACTGTGAGCTCTGCATGGAGTAAATGAGTAAAACAACAGGTAGGAGGTGTAAGAGAGGTAAGTACGAGGTGCTACAGAAGCAGAGGGCAAGTTGACGCCTGCTCGGGGAAGTGGGGGAAGCTTCCTTGGCAAGGGACATTTGAAACGTCATAGGGGAAAGAGGAGAGGAGGGTTCCAGGCACATGTACAAAGGCACACAGATAGGGAAAAGTATGACTTCTTCAGGAACCACAAGTACACAGTTCCGTATGGCTGGCATACAGAAGGAGGGGCCACGGTGGGAGATGAGGCTAGAGGATGCAGGTCACGAATGATCATGAATGGCAGGTGAAGGAGTTCGGTTTATCCCACAGGGCAGTACTTTGAAACCACGTTCGCATCACTGCACACACAGAAAAAAGACATATTCATATGCACATGTGAGGATAACTGGAGGGTTACTCGGTGCCTAAAGGGACCTACATCTTGGCAGACTTGTAACCCATTCAGGAAGCTTTGCTATAGGTGATGCACTGGAGAGCTTCCCACCATGGAGTGACACAATCAGATCTGGGTAATGGAAAGAGCCCCCTGGAGAATAAAACAGGGTGAGAGAATGAAAGCAGGAAGGGGTTAGGAAGGAGCCCCCTGTTGTAATCCAGGCAAGAGGCAACGAAGGCTCATATGAGGTAATGGTGGTGGAGAAGGAGAAGATGGGTTAGAGATGAGCTTTAGGTAAAACCAACAGGGCTGGTGACTGGTGGGATGTGGAAGGAGAGTGGAGGGAGAAACAGATGTTGGGCAACTGTCAAGCAGCACCATTGATTAGGACAGAGAGAACATGACAGAGACGGAGAGTCTGAAGAAAACTTCACGGGAGAGGCAGCCTCAAAAGTCAACCTTGGAGTTAGGCAAAAAATAGGGTGGAGTGGAAATAGTAGGTGTGAAGGCACAGAGGTGGGCATGGCAGGTGTCCCTTCTGGGCTAAGCAGCAGAGGAACAGGTGAGAAGAGCAGCCATGTGAGAAAAAGGAGCTGGAGTCTCCCTGCCAAGAGCATCTTGGGACTGCTGAGTTGTGACAGACACTTGCCTTCCCTGAGAACTAATCCAAATCCTCAGCTCAGCTGTCCTCTCTCTGGGACAGGCCTGAGTGAGATATGGAGGGCAGCAAGAATCTTCCAGAAGCTTCTCCAGCTGGCCTGAATCACTATGTGTTCATCAGGGGCCTCTGTCCGAGCCCTCAAATGCAGAGTCGTTCCCCAGAGGTGAGGAACTACTTCCCATCACTGCACTAGCGTGATGTGGATCCTCAGGTGAACCGTGAGGGCTGAGCTGCGGCTGAAGGCCTTCCCGCAGTCGCGGCACCTGTAGGGCTTCTCTCCTGTGTGGATCCTCTGGTGCTCGATGAGGGAGGAGCTCTGCGCAAAGGCCTTTGGACAAACCTTACACTGATACGGCTTCTCTCCAGAGTGGGTTCTCAGGTGTCGAGTCAGAGCTGAGCAGTCACTGAAGGCTCTCCCACATGACTCACACTTGTAGGGCTTCTCCCCAGTGTGGATGCGCTGGTGCTGAGTCAGGTGGGTGCTCTGGCTGAAGGCCTTCCCACACTCGTCACATTCGTAGGGCCGCTCCCCTGTGTGCACCCGCTGGTGCTGGGTGAGGTGGGTGCTGCGGCTGAAGGTTTTGCCACATTCCCCACATTTATAGGGTTTCTCTCCAGTATGAATCCTCCGGTGCTGAGTCAGGTGGGTGACTCGGCTGAAGGCCTTTCCACATTCCTTACACTCATGGGGCTTCACCCCTGTGTGGACAACCTGGTGCTGGGCTAGGTGAGTGCTCCGGCCAAAGGCTTTCCCACACTCGCTGCAGGCATAAGGCGTCTTCCGAGAGCGGTTCTTCTGGTGTGCCTCAAGGGCTGAGGCGCTCTGGAATGTTTTCCTACGTTCGCCACACTTGGAGAACTTCGTCTCTGACAATGTGCATGGAGACTCTGTCCCATATCCATCCAATACATCAAATTTCTCTTCTGAAGCAGCCTTCTCTTGGGAGGTGAAGTTTGGCCACACGTTGGAACTGTCTTCCCAGGCACCAGATTCATGGCCAGGCTGGTCTGTGGGGGCGTCCTTGTGAGGCCCTGAAGTTTTCCTGAAATCCATGTCTTGGGTGACAGCCTTTGTCCAGCTTTCCCCTGAGAGTCCTGCTGGCCTCTCTGAGCTGCCCTTGGGTTCACAGGCATTGATAAAGGCGGAAACACCTCCCATGTGGGTTTCTGCAGCCACGTTTGGCGGCTCTGACTCTTCCGAATGGCTCTGCTTGCAACCTGCCTCTACGGGCTTGGCTTCTGGCTTCCATCCTGAAAGAATCCGAACCACAGAGTCATTACTCCTACCACACCCAGCCTCCCCAACTCTGCCTAGGGCCCTGGCCATGCTCTGTAAAGGGAAATGTGAATCACCCCTGATATTTGATTCCATTTCCAAAGGGAAGTTTCTCATTTTGTGTCTTAGATGACAAAAGGGTGCAGGGCTGAACCACACCATCCAAAACTGCATCATGGGTTCTGACCCTCTTACCCTCAAGCTCCCCATCCCTCAAGACTCCTGATTTTGTCTCAGGTGTCAGAAGGAAAACCCTGAAGGGGAACTGATATGAAAGACAGCAAGAGAGGGGGAGAGTTTGTCCTTGTCAGGCACCTGCATATGTGCTCCCCCCAGGCAGGCCCCAAGCTCTGTGAGGTCGGGGCTCTGTCCCTTATACTTAGCACCTTTCCTCTGGGCCTGGATGGGTCTGCAGGTGCTCAGTGAATATTGGCTGAATGAGAGAATCAATCCAGATGCTGTGATTATGACATCTCCCACGGTAGAACCCCAGGTAGACAATCACTGCTGGGGGCGAGTGAATGATGCCCCACCTGGCCTTCCAAGCCCCCAGGAGGCCCAGCTGAGGACAGGTGTTGAGTAACTGGTACAAGATCACATGATTAGCTCAGAGAGGTAGAGTAACTTGTGCAAAATCACAGCTAGTGGTCAAGTCCAGATTTCAGCTCCAAATCTCCTCCTCCAGGAGTCTCCCTTCCTTCCCCCCAGCCCCTCTCAGACACTTTCTGCCTCTACTCCAGATACCTCACACCACCTGCTCTTCTCAGAAGTCTCTGGTCCAAATCATACCTTTACCCCCACTGTCCCCTCTGTCTAGATGGCTGGCTCTTCTTTGTCCTTTCTCTGAAGTCTCTGCTGACCCCGTGGGAGAAAGGGGCCATTCCTTCCCTCCTCTCTGTCCCTGTGACATCCTCCTGGACACAGCTGATGAGGCCAAGGGAGGGAATGACCAACCTCTTCCAGAGAAGTCTGTTTCTCAAGGAGCTGAACAAATTGTCCTAAAGCTACCTTTACCTCCTCTGTAATCTTTCCAGGCACTGCTGCAGCTGCTGCATAGGAATTCCCTCATTCACAACTCTCGTGGACACCAAGGTGGGTATTTTGACGACAATCTCCATTTTTCCCACCAGTAAACTGACGCACAAGAGTCACATGGCCAGAAGAATGCTGACCAGTGGCTGGATCTACCGAGCCTTGATGATTCATTCATGTCCAAACTCCATGTTCCTCCTGTCCACTGCACACATCTCCCCAGTGCCTGTCACACACACCCTGCCATCTGCTATTTACAGGCCAGGCCAAGCCGTTCTGGGAGGAGCCTTCGCTTCTGGCTCTGGACTGTCCTATGGATGGGTCCTCCCTGTGTTCCATGGACCCGCTGGGCTGGGATGTCTGTGTGGGTCTCCCTGAGTAACAGTATCCACTCCAGCTGAGGGTGGGTCTGACCCACCCAGATCCTGGAGGCCAGCATGGGGCAGGCCCAGAGAGGGTGGAAGGGGACACCTGGTGTTTGTCTTCCTCACCCCCCACCCCCACCCGAGGCATCCAGCCACCTGTCTGTACCAGCAGCTGGGTTTTCCTTTGGGGAACTGCCCCTTGCTCTGGGATTTGGTCGGCCACAGACAAACACAAGCCCCCGACCAATTCAGTGGGACTAGGACCAGGGGCCTCTAGTACCAGCAGCTGGGTTTTCCTTTGGGGAACTGCCCCTTGCTCTGGGATTTGGTCGGCCACAAACACAAGCCCCCGACCAATTCAGTGGGACTAGGATCAGGGGCCTCTCAGGACCAGGGGCCTCTAACTGTTCTTCCCCCAGGGTTTCTACGTTGGTAAGACATAAGCCTGGGGTTGCTGGGCCATCTATGTCACCCGTGGGGAAAGAACCTAACTTAAGTAAGAAGCTAATATAGGGCTTCCCAGTTAGCCTAATTGGTTAGAGTGCGGCCTTGTAACACAAGGTCAAGGGTTCGGATCCCAGTACCAGTCAGCTGCCCAAAAAAAGAATGAAGCTAATGTAGGAAAACCCAACTGAGAAACAGATGAAAGAGTCCTGATGCCACCAACTGGACACAGCCATACCTGACGCCTCCTTACTCTTCTTTGCTTGAGCTGGTTTGAGCTGTATTTGGTCACTTGCAACCAAACAGACCCGTCCAGCACCAAGTGTAAGAGTTTGGGCAAGGCACAAACGTGACAGTTGGGTGTGTGAGACTCCACACCAGAGCCCTGTACTCCCATGCTCCAGTCCAGGCTCTGCCCCCAGTGTGCTGTGGACACCTGCTGTCACTCCCCCTCACCTCTCTTGTCCAGCACCTGAGTCATATCCTCCACCAGCACAGCGGCCTCCTCTCCACTCTTGGGGCACTGGGCCCCCACCCAGGCCTGGATCTCGGGAGGCAGCGTGCCCAGGAACTGCTCCAGCACCAGCAGCTCCAGCATCTGCTCCTTGGAGTGTGCCTCGGGGTGCAGCCACTGGCGGCACAGTTCTCGAAGCTGGGCCAGGGCCTCATGTGGGCCGGACGCCTCCTCATAGCGGAAGTGCCGGAAGCGCAGGCGTGCAGCCTCGGGGTGGGCAGTGTGGCTGAGGCTGGATTCTTGGCCCTGGGAGAGGCCAGCCACTTCCTCCTCCACCTTCACTTGAAGGAAGCTGGTATGGTCCCAAGGCACTGGGCTCTGGGGACTCTTCGGGATGGCCATTGGGCTGCTGTGCTCAGTGAGCGACAAGATGGCTGGAGCCTTGGAACTGGGTCTGCAGGGATGTCAGAGCTTCATCGTCACATGGAACCTGGGGCCCTGCCTTGAACCTGCAGAGAAGGGCAGCTTAAGACCTATGAGATGTGACTCACTCTCACAGAGACAGAGACCATCATAGTAATGAGGACAGTACCCACTTGATGCCGAGCACTGTTCTTGTTGCTTGCATGAAATAACTCATTTAAAACTCGCAATAAGGGCCGGCCCGGTGGCGCACTGGAGAGTGCGCCTCCTGGGAGTGCGGTGGCGCTCCCGCCGAGGGTTCGGATCCCATGTGGAGACCGGTTCCCGCTCACTGGCTGAGCGTGGTGCCGGTGCGACACCGAGGGTTGTGATCCCGTACCAGTCAGTAAAAAAGACAAAAAGGAGACCGGTTCCCGCTCACTGGCTGAGCGTGGTGCGGGTGCGACACCGAGGGTTGTGATCCCGTACCAGTCAGTAAAAAAGACAAAAAGGAAAAAAAAAAAAAACTTGCAATAAACTCAGGGAGGTGGGAACTTTCTTCCCATTTTATAGACGCTAAAACAGATACAGGGGAGGAAAAGATTTGCCCAGTCTCCCAGCTAATGAAGGGTTGGTGGGGAGCTTAGCTCCAAACCCAGGCAAACCCATAGCCAGACTGTTTAAGGTGTGCTCCTTCCCTACAGAGCCAGGTCTCTTTCCCGAGCTCTCACCCACTGTCCCTAGGCAGTCACATAACCACTCCCTCACTTTATTTGCTCATTATTTTGTAGTATCTGAGACTGATACTCACCTAGTTTACTTTCAGCCTCTCCTCTTTTCTAACACATGTATTCAAGCCTATAAATTTCCCCCAAACACAGCTTTATCTGCACATCCCAAGTTTGATATATTGTATCCTCATTATCATTTAGTTCAAAATATTTTCTACTTTCTGCTGTGGTTTCTTCCTGACCCAAGGGTTATTTAGAATTCTGCTCCTTCATTTCCAAACAACTGGGGGTTTTCTAGTTGTCTTTCATTATTATTTCTAGATCCAATTTGTTGTGGTCAGAAAATGTGCTATGATGGATTCCAATCCTTTGAAATTTGCTGAGTCTTGGTTTGTGACCAAGTATATGGTTAGTTTTGGTTAATATTCCACACACCCTTAAAAATAATGAAAAGTGGGGCTGGCTGGATTGCTTACTTGGTTACAGCACAGTGCTGATAACACCAAGGTCCAGGGTTTGATGCTTGTAATAGCCAGCCCCCCCGCCCCCCCAAAAGGCAAAGCATTCTTAGATAATATACTAAAAGCATAAGTGACAAAAGATAAATTAGATAAACTGACTTCATCAAAATTAAAAATTCTTGTGATTTGAATGATACCATCAAGAAAGTGAAAAGACAACTCAGAGAATGGAAAAAAATATTTGCAAATCAAATATCTGATAAGAGACCCATATCTAGAACAACTACATAATAAAAAGATGAATAATCCAATTTAAAAATGGGCAAAGGATTTGACTAGACATTTCTCAAAAGATATACAAATGGCCAATAAGCAGATGAAAAGATGCTCCACATCATTTACAACCAGGGAATTACAAATCAATGAGATACCACTTTACACCTACCGGGATGGCTATAATCAGACAGGTAAGTGTTGGCTTGGATGTGTAGAAATTGGAACCCTTGAACCCTTCTGGTGGGAATGTAAGATGGTACAGCTTTCAATCCCTGTACTGGCCAGCCACCAAAAATAAAAACCTGGCACAGCCACTGTGGAAATAGTCTGGCACTTCCTCAAAAGGTTAAACACAGAGTAACCACATGACCCAGGAATTCCACTCCTAGGTATAT